AAAAAAAAATGATTATATGACGTCATTCCAGGATGAGGATTCATTTAGCCTTCCACTGACACAGGTAAGGGTGGAGAACTTTTTAATTGGATGACAGACGGCTATAACGTCATTAGAAACACAGTGTTTGAATTTGAAGTATAAATACCACATGGCACATGGCTAATATTACAAATCTGTAGTTTGTAGTGTGCCTCTGGAAAATATTTATGAATGTAGAAGAATAGCAAACTCAAAACACGGAAATAAACAACTCGTTTTAACATCAAGTCATGTTACTTGGTTACACTGCTTTAGCGCATAGGGCTAATTTAATTTGTGGAGCAAGGTGTTATTTCATTACCATGCACTCAGAGTGTATTTTAAAATGAGTCTCAGAGGTGAAGTTTTGATGAGGTTTAGGTACAGGAGCGCGAAGTAACTGAAGAATGGTGCATGATTATTAGACTACTGTACGCACAACTTGTCTCCGTGTGCATTGGAAAATATGTTTTTTTTTTCTAATGTTGTAATAATGTTTAACTGATATCACTCTCAGTGACTTTGTTATTTAGAACCTTGCTGCCAGAACTCTTTGAATGTCTGTTGATGTTGCAGTGTGTGTGCGCGTTTCATCTTGAAGAGAGTTTGGAGAAAAGAGGTTAGAATGTTATCTCAATTTATTTAATGCACATATTGTTTCAAGTACATTTCTGCTGATTCATTAGGATTTTGTTTTATATTTGCTAACTTAAAACTCTGTTTCTGCCATGCACACACACCCACACACACACACACACACCACACACACACACACACACACACACACCACATTTCTCTACCTCCTTTCTTTTTTACTCTCCCTCTTTTCTCTCCCTCTCTTTCTCTCTCTCTCTCTCCCTCTCTTTCCCTCTCTCTCTCCCCATCCCTCATTGTATTTGTGATTTCTCTCTGACACACAATACTCTGCATTCTTTGCACTTATGTAATTAGTCCTTCTATAAACTAATCAACCAACCCCTGTGTCTCTCCAGCAGGTTGACATTCATTAATGAGAGGAGAGGAACCTGAGCCCATGCAGTGTGTGACTGAGTGTGAAGCTCTCTCCCTCTCCAGAATGAGTGTGTGTGCCGACGGCCCCTCATACCTGCGGCGGTGGCTGCTGACGGCTGTGTTTGTCTTGGCCTCTCTGCCACCAGGAACCAGCGGATGCCCCAAATCGTGCGCGTGCTATGTTCCCACCGAAGTGCACTGTACCTTCAGATACCTGACCGCATTACCAGGCCAGATCCAGACGGCTGTGGAAAGAATTTTAACAGGGGAGAAAGGGAAAAAGGGGGAGAAGAGAAGAGAAGAAAAAAACAGCGAGGGAGGAGAGAGGAGAGGAGAGAGGAGAGAGAGAGAGAGGAGAGAGCGGAGGAGAGCGAGAAGCGAGAGAGAGGGGGAAGAGAGAGAAGAGGAAGAGATGAGAGAGAGAGAAGAGAGAGAAGGGAAAAAAGGGAGGAGAGAGAGAAAAGAGGAGAGAGAGAGAGAGAGAGAAGAGATAGCGAACAAAAAATAGAGGAGATATTTATACCTCTCTCTCTCTCTCCTTTCTCTTTCTCTTTCTCTATCTCTCTCTTCTCTCCTCCCCTCTCTCTCATCTCCTCTTCTCTCTCTCCCTCCCCCATTCCTTCTTTTATTCTCTCTCCCCCATTCTTTTTTCCTATCCAGAAGTTTTGCACATACAGTATATTTTAGTTATATATTAGACAGTTGATGTAGCATTTTTGAGCAAGAATGCATTATTCACAGCCAGATTGTTTCCCTACACTCTTCTCTGTAGGTACAACAGTATAACTGCATTGAGGGAGAATGATCTGTCTGGGCTGGAGCGCCTGGAGCTGTTGATGCTTCACAGCAACACCATCCACAGCATCGCTGACGGGGCCTTTCAAGACCTCAAGTCCTTACAGGTATACCTACAGCACTGTCAGAAAACACCTGTTGATATACAGGTAACTGCCAAAAATAATGGAAACACTTGAGTAAATGAGGGATACTAAGTATATTGAAATCATGTGCTTCCACACAGGTGTGGTTCCTGAGTTACAGTTTTTTTCCAACTGCTTACACACAAAATCTTTTCGTGTCACACGATTTTTGAAACCTCTCACTCAAAGTGCAAAACTACACACCAAATCTCCAAAACCATAAGCTATTTCTCAGCCTTTGACTCAGTTGTCAATTGCAAAACACTTTTTTCAAAACACTACACACAATTCTCTACCTAAAACACAACAATCTAACAGGAAGTGACTTGCTTTCCTTTTCCAAACACAACCAATCAAAATGCTACACTTATTCACCAGGTCACACACACACTCCTCACATGTGCAAACACTAATTGCTTAACTGATCACTAACCAATCACTGCTTTACTGTAGTATAGGCCTATAAATAGGTCAAAGGTCAGATTACCTGTTTTGAACAATGGATGCCAACAATGGACAGAGAGCAAGAGGAGTAGGAGGGAGAGGCAGGGGACAACAACGAGGACAAATTCAAAGATGAATAGTTGGAAGAGGAAGATGAAGAGGGCAAAGAAGAGAAGGAAGGAGAGCCATCTCTGATGAGATTAGGGCAACACTTGTTGATCATGTGATCAACCATGGTTTGTCTATGAGAGAGGCTGGACTGAGAGTCCAGCCCAACTTGAGTCGATTTACAGTGGCGTCCATAATTCGAACCTTCAGAAATGAGATCAGGTATGCAACTATCTAATTACTATTTTAGCATTACAGTAATGTACTGTAAAATACGTATGACTGCATAGTATTGCATAAACATTTGTAACTCTAAGCCATCCATTTACTGCATTGAATGAATGAGGTTGGTTATCATGATGTACTACCTTTTTTTGTACATTGTTTACAGTTCCTATGCTGAACACATACTGTGTTTGAATTCTGTACAGAGTGGAAAGGCAAATACATCATGGAGGACGAGGACGCTTGTTTACAGATGTACAAGAGACTGCAATTATAAATATGGTTTTGGCCAACAATGCAATTACTGATTTGAGAGATAAGAGAGCATATCTTGAATAATGACACCATATTTAACAACATCAATTCTGTAAGCCTGTCGACCATACAACGCATCCTCCAACGGCACCAAGTGACGATGAAACAACTTTACAAGGTGCTATTTGAGAGAAACTCTGACAGAGTCAAGAATCTGCAACATGACTTTGTAGAGGTATGTATGCAACACTACTTCCAGTACTTCAGACATACCATATTTACTCATCTGTATATCCTTTTGTCTGTTACAGAGAGTATTGGAGATGGATGCCCATGTAATTCGCCATGAATTTATTTATGTGGATGAGGATGGCTTCAACCTCACCAAAACCAGGCGCCGCAGAAGAAATGTAATAGGACAGAGGGCAATTACCAATGTCCCTGGACAGCGTAGGGGTAATATAACTGTGTGCTGCCATCACTCAAAACGGGGTCCTCCATCACAATGCCACACTGGGTCCGTACAACACGGCCATATGCTCACTTTTCTGGATGCAATTTACACAATTCTTGTCCCTGATCCAGATCAGGAGCCTGCTAGATTTGTGGTTATATGGGACAATGTTAGTTTTCACTGGGCTGTTCTGGTCCAAAACTGGTTTGCCACCCATCCACAATTTGTAGTTTTGTCCCACCCCCATATTCACCTTTTCTAAATCCCATAGAGGAATTATTCTCAGCCTGGCGCTGGAAAGTGTATGATCGCCAACCCTATGCCCGCATGCCGCTTCTCCAGGCAATGGAGGACGCATGTGGGGACATGGAGGTTGCCTCTGTCCAAGGTTGGATACGCCATGCTAGGAGATACTTCCCTCGATGTTTGGTAAGAGAAAACGTATCTTGTGATGTGGACGAAGAATTGTGGCCAGACCCAGCCCGGAGAAGAGATGAAGCGTAGCTTAGCACTGGTGACTGCCCCCCCCCCCCCCCCCCCCCCCACCACCAATTCCTGGACTGCCCCCCGGGACCCCACACACACAATTGTGTTCTTTACTGTATTCTAAAGAATATACTTTTGGTTTACATATGTTTATGGTTTTGTTTTATGCTACTGTATACAACAGTAATGTTTGGCCTAATAAATATTTTCTGTTTCTACATTGCATTGGTGTTTACAGTGTACTTGTTACCCCTCTCAGCAGATTACTATGTTTTTTAGAACATTGTATTGAAATGTAGATATAAGCCTATGAAAGACCAAAGAGCTTTAGATTTAGAACAACAGTGTTTACATGGTATATGCAAAATGTACTATTATGAAAAGTGTTTGCCATTTGATGCAAATGCTTCATTCTGACATGTGTTTATGGCATTTTGAATGCAGTGTTACATTTTGAAGGAGATGTGAGGCATTTTGCATTTTGTGTGTGCAGTTTTGGCAATTGTGTGTAGAGTTTTGAAAAAAGGAGACATAGTTTTGAAAACGTGTGTAAGCAGTTGGAAAAAACTGTAAGCAATTAACGTCCCATCATGCTTAGGGTCACGTATGAAACGGCTGGGCACACCATTATTTTGGCCATTATTTTGGCTACCATGGCTGTGCCCCCATAGGATGACAATGCCCCCATCCAGAGGGCACGAGTGGTCACTGAATGGTTTGATGAGCGTGAAATCGATGTGAACCATATTACATGGCCGTCTCAATCACCAGAGATTCTGGAGCAGTGCCTGAGACAGCGTTTTCCACCACCATCAACAAAACACCAAATTATGGAATTTCTCTTCGAATAATGGTGTTGCATCCCTCCAATAGAGTTCCAGAAACTTGTAGAATCTATACCAAGAGAGATTCTTCTGAGCAGGCTTTTTCCCAATCTAGTGGAGCCACAGAACCAAGTATGCTAAGACATTAATAAATACAAGTTCTTCCTTACAGTAACATCTTTCAAACAGCAACGCAAAGTGTAATTGATCTTGGAAAATATATCAGTAAATACACAGACTTTGTCCGTGGTGTTAATATTATTATTTTATTGTAGGCCCTGAGGGTTAGGGGGGATATATAAAAGGCCTTGGACTGCATCCCTTAATAACTGCTTTGATGTACTCTTATTTAAAGCCTTTCACCACAGCTGACTTCTGGAAGCCCTCCCAGACAGAATAACCTCACATCACCTCTGGCCCAGCTTCTTTTATAACACAGTGTCTCTATTGAAGTGCTTCAAACAAGTTAGCCGTGGCACACTCGTGCTCCGGGGGGCCTCTATGCGACTATAACTTGTGTTTTTTAATGACGTGCCTTCAGGTCCTGAAGATGAGCTACAACAGAGTGAAGGAGATCAACAGGGACACCTTCCAAGGCCTGGAGGGCCTGGTGCGACTCCACGTTGACCACAACCGCATCGAGTTCATCAACCCGGAGGCCTTCTACGGTCTGACCGCGTTACAGCTGGTCCACCTGGAGGGCAACCTGCTCCAGCAGCTCCACCCAGACACCTTCATCACGCTGAGGCACAGCCAGGTGTTCAAGGTGTCCTCCGTCAGGAACATCCATCTGTCTGACAACCTCCTCACCAGCCTCCCCAAAGACGTCTTCACTGGATGCTCTCAGCTGGAGAACGTCTACCTCCATGGCAACCCCTGGTCTTGCGACTGTCGCATGGATTGGTTCCCAGAGTGGGCGGAGAGAAATTCAGGTAAAGATACATTACATTTCTGACTGCAACATTCTGAATGTTTCACTAAACTGAGTAGGCCCCAGATCTGTTGCACTGTAAAACCGAATAAGTTAGCAGAACTCAATACATTTGTGGCAACTGATTGCTTCAGTTTTTTTTTGTTATGACACGTAAAAGTATTGATTGATACAGTACTTAATAATTTTTGTTAACCTCTACAGGATTGGTGTCCCGTATACGGGACGGTTGAGCTAACGTGCCCTGATGTGATTAGCATGACTAATGTAAAGTAACAGCAAACTTTCCAGGACATAGACATGTCTTATATGGGCAGAAAGCTTACATTCTTGTTAATCTAACTGCACTGTCCAATTTACAGTAGCGTTTACAGTGAACAAATACCATGCTATTGTTTGAGGAGAGAGCACAACAACAAATCACTCATCACGTTAACTGGTTTGATATATTCACCTCTGAAGGTAAATAATGTACTTTTTTATTTATTTTTTATTTCACCTTTATTTAACCAGGTAAGCCAGTTGAGAACAAGTTCTCATTTACAACTGCGACCTGGCCAAGATAAAGCAAAGCAGTGCGATAAAAACAACACAGAGTTACATATGAGGTAAAAAAAACATAAAGTCAAAAAATACAACAGAAAATATATATACAGTGTGTGTATATGTAGCAAGTTATGGAGCTAAGGCAATAAATAGGCTATAGTGCAAAATAATAACAATTAGTATTAACACTGGAATGCTAGATGTGCAAGAGATTATGTGCAAATAGAGATGCTGGGGTGCAAAAGAGCAAAATAAATAACAATATAGGGATGAGGTAGTTGGGTGGGCTAATTTCAGATGGGCTGTGTACAGGTGCAGTGATCGGTAAGGTGCTCTGACAACTGATGCTTGAAGTTAGTGAGGGAGATAAGTGTCTCCAGCTTCAGAGATTTTTGCAATTCGTTCCAGTCATTGGCAGCAGACAACTGGAAGGAATGGCGGCCAAAGGAGGTGTTGGCTTTGGGGATGACCAGTGAGATATACCTGCTGGAGCGCAGACTACGGGTGGGTGCTGCTATGGTGACCAATGAGCTAAGATAAGGCGGGGATTTGCCTAGCAGTGATTTATAGATGACCTGGAGCCAGTGGGTTTGACGACGAACATGTAGTGAGGACCAGCCAACAAGAGCGTACAGGTCACAGTGGTGGGTAGTGTATGGGGCTTTGGAGACAAAACGGATGGCACTGTGATAGACTACATCCAATTTGCTGAGTAGAGTGTTGGAGGCTATTTTGTAAATGACATCGCCGAAGTCAAAGATCGGTAGGATAGTCCGTTTTACGAGGGCATGTTTGGCAGCATAAGTGAAGGAGGCTTTGTTGCGAAATAGGAAGCCGATTCTAGATTTAACTTTGGATTGGAGATTCTTAATGTGAGTCTGGAAGGAGAGTTTACAGTCTAACCAGACACCTAGGTATTTGTAGTTGTCCACATACTCTAGGTCAGACCCGTCGAGAGTAGTGATTCTAGTCGGGTGGGCGGGTGCCAGCAGTGTTCGATTGAAGAGCATGCATTTAGTTTTACTAGTGTTTAAGAGCAGTTGGAGGCTACTGAAGGAGTGTTGTATGGCATTGAAGCTCGTTTGGAGGTTTGTTAACACAGTGTCCAATGAAGGGCCAGATGTATACAAAATGGTGTCGTCTACGTAGAGGTGGATCTGAGAGTCACCAGCAGCAAGAGCTACATCATTGATATACACGGAGAAAAGAGTCGGCCCAAGAATTGAACCCTGTGGCACCCCCATAGAGACTTAGATTACTTACATTCAGTAATCTTGCTCTGATTTGTCATCCTAATGGTCCCAGAGATCAAATGTAGCATGGTTTTGTTTGATGAAATTCGATTTTATATTCAAATGTAGGAACTGGGTTCTACAGTTTGAATCCCTGCTGTCTCTGGCTCCACACCCACCCCGCCCGGCCATCTAGATATGTGAAAGTTAGTGTATGTCTGCTAAATGACTAAAATGTCAAATGTAAATAAGCTAATGATCCATCATGTATGACATTCCTGGGAGTGTGTAAACTTACATTTTGTATTACCATATCATTTTTTAATGTTCTCTATAGTTATGTACTTGAAAATGTATCAATTGACCAATTAAAGACATTTGGGCAGACTTGATACAAAATAGTCCAGTATTGCAATGCTTCACTGGATCAATCTGAAACTTTGCACACACACACATCTAGTGGCCAAAATCTAAATTGCGCCTAAACTGGAATATTATATTGTGGCCTTTCTCTTGCATTTCAAAGAATAAAAATAAATAAATAGAAAATTCATGTTTTTTTGTTTGTATTATCTTTTACCAGATCTAATGTGTTATATTCTCCTACATTAAATTCACATTTCCACAAACTTCAAAGTGTTTCCTTTCAAATGGTATCAAGAATATGCATATCCTTGCTTCAGGTACTGAGCTACAGGCAGTTAGATTTAGGTATGTCATTTTAGGCAAAAATGGGAAAAAAGGGTCCGATCCAATTTTGGTTACAGGTAACTTAAAGTAATTAGAATTATTAACTTTATTACTATGATCTACAGTAACTTAAATATATATACAGTATATATTGATTTAACTCATAATGTTTAAGTAAGCATAACACACCCCTTTCAAGTTGTTTTACTACAAACTTCATGTTACATGAACTTAATATTTTTGTGTTATGCTTACTTCCTAGCTATTAACCTGTAATCAATTATTTTAAGTTGCGACAACTAATACGCAAATTAAAAACTATAACTTACTTAAATCAAAAGGTAGTTGTACATCTAATCAAAAACTTTGTGGCAACTGATTACATAGGTTTCATTTTTTTGCACCAACTCAAACAAATTAATTGTAATGTTAATAGAACTAAAACTAAAAAACATTTACAAATGAATGCTTTTAAAGTGAAATGAATGCTTTCCTGAAGAAAATACATTTAAAGTCAGAGTAGATTTAAAGAGAATACAGTAAAAGGTGTTAGAGAACATAGTGCAAGGTTCCACAATTAAAAAGCACAGATTGGGGTCAATGTCTCAGTGGAGGTCAGGTTTGGGTCAGTTATTTTAATCCAGTCGATTTGGTAAGTAAACTGAAATTCTAATATTTTCCTCATTGCCTCCTTTGAGGAAGGGCTACCAGTGAGTCACCAAGCTCTGGCATGTCTGAATCCTCCACCTGAACTACACAATGCACTTCAGATGAGAATACTAGACAGACATGTTATATAGCAATATATCTACGCTGACCTATGGTTGGCCAGATAGACCATATTCACCCATCTAATCCTCTCAGATCACCTCAGGGTGGGTTGATTGGGAATGGGCACTACCTTGCATGTTTTGAAAAATCCGGAAACTTCCTCACGCAGCAACACAGGAAGAGCATGGAGAACAGTTGTACGCCTTGTGTGGGCATCATGTAGTCCCTAAAGGGATACATGAATGTCAATTTTATGACATAGGCTTAATAATCTAACCTGGTACCAGAGAAAGATTAGAATATTTAGCCTTGAATCACTTGTGACGTGCTCAGCTTGGTTTAATTAGGAACCTGGTACAATGGAACCAATGGAATAGTCCCAAAAGTGGAAAATACTTATTAAGCCTAGTCCTGGGACTATAAAGCAAGCTCAATAGAGAATCTCCATAGAACATTATTTTAGTCCAGGACCAGGCTTAATCTGTGTCTGGGAAATCTCCCCTCAAGGTTTAATAAGTAGTTGATATTTGCATTGGACAAAGATCTGATTCCAGTGCAATGTGTAGTCCTCTGTCTTACCTGTAGATCATGATACCTCAGATTGTCAACCAAAGCATCAGCAGTCCTTCCAGTCTTCGATGCCCTCTCTGACGGTCAATCTCAGCATAGAAGATACAGGACTAAGATTGAATCGTACTACACCTGCTCTGACGCTCGTCGGATGTGGCAGGGATTGCAAACTATTACGGACTACAAAGGGAAGCACAGCCGCAAGTTGCCCAGTGACACAAGCCTACCAGACGAGCAAAATTACTCCTATGCTCGCTTCGAGGAAAGCAACACTGAAGCATGCATGAGAGCATCAGCTGTTCCAGACGACTGTATGATCACGCTCTCCATAGCCAATGTGAGTAAGACCTTTAAACAGGTCAACATTCACGAGGTCGCAGGGCCAGACGGATTACCAGGACGTGTACTCCGAGCATGCACTGACCAACTGGCAATTGCCTTCACTGACATTTTCAACCTGTCCCTGACTGAGTCTGTAATACCAACATGTTTCAAGCAGACCACCATATTCCTTATGCCCAAGAACACTAAGGTAACCTGCCTAAATGACTACCGACATGTAGCACTCACGTCTTTAGCCATGAAGTGCTTTGAAAGGCTGGTCATGGCTCACATCAACACCATTATCACAGAAACCCTAGACCCACTCTAATTTGCATACTGCCCCAACAGATCCACAGATAATGCAATCTCTATTGCACTCCACACTGCCCTTTCCCACCTGGACAAAAGGAATACCTACGTGAGAATGCTATTAATTGACTCAAGCTCAACGTTCAACACCATAGTGCGCTCAAAGCTCATCACTAAGCTAAGGACCCTGGGACTAAACACCTCCCTCTGACACTGGATCCTGGACTTCCTGATGGGCCACCCCCAGGTGGTAAGGGTAGGTAACAACACATCTGCCACGCTGATCCTCAACACGGGGGCCCCTCAGGGGTGCGTGCTCAGTCCACTCCTGTACTCCATGTTCACCCATGACTGCATGGCCAAGCACGACTCCAACACCATCATTAAGTTTGCTGACAACACAACAGTGGTAGGCCTGATCACCGATGATGAGACAGCCTATAGGGAGGAGGTCAGAGACCTGGCCGTGTGGTGCCAGGAAAACAACCTCTCCCTCAACGTGACAAAGACAAAGGAGATGATTGTGGACTACAGGAAAAGGAGGACAGAGCAAGCCCCCATTCTCATCGACAGGGCTGTAGTGGAGCAGGTTGAGAGCTTCAAGTTCCTTGGTGTCCACATCACCAACAAACTATCATGGTCCAAACACACCAAGACAGTCATGAAGAGGGCACAACAAAGTATATTCCCCCTCAGGAGACTGAAAAGATTTGGCATGGGTCCTCAGATCCTCAAAAAGTTCTACAGCTGCAACATCGAAAGCATCCTGACTGGTTGCATCACCACCTGGTATGGCAACTGCTTGGCCTCAGACCGCAAGGCACTACAGAGGGTAGTGTGTACGGCCCAGTACATTACTGGAGCCAAGCTTCCTGCCATCCAGGACATCTTTACCAGGTGGTGTCAGAGGATGGCCCTAAAAATGTCCAAAGACTCCAGCCACCCTAGTCATAGACTGTTCTCTCTGCTACCGCATGGCAAGCGGTACCGGAGCACCAAGTCTAGGTCCAAAAGCCCCCCCCCCCCCCCCCTCTTTTACGCTGCTGCTACTCTCTGTTTATTATCTAAGCATAGACACTTTACCTCTACCCACATGTACATATTACCTCAATTACCTCGACTAACCTGTGTCCCCGCACATTGACTCGCTACTGTTATTTTATTTTACTGCTGCTCTTTAATTATTTTTATTTATATATTTTTTACTTAACACTTATTTTTCTTAAAACTGCATTGTTGGTTAAGGGCTTGTAAGTAAGAATTTCAAATGATGTAGGCCTAGTACTGTTGAATCAGAGAATTACAGAAAATGATATTCATAACTTTAAATTTATGTTTCACACCCAAGCCAAATATCAACGTCAAAAAATAGGCATATGTTATTTGAATAGTACATAAATAATTCAGGATTAGTTTTAACTTTCAGAAATCTAAGTACTGCTTTTGAATTAGGCAGCATGCCATTGAATCAAGTTTAGGCTGCGCCATTTTGTGCACCTGTCATGTTGCACTCAGCAATTGCAGACAGCTAGCAAGCTAGACAAGTAGCGTTGCTAGCAAGCCAACATAGTTGCACATAAACAGGAATCATGGCGTAGCTAATAAGCACATTTTACATAATATGCTTCAGAAAAGAATCATCACATATGACACCAAAATCCTTATGTTTAAGCAAGTAGCTAGTTAACGTTATCCATCAACTCTTTTTTACAGCGCGTTGGTGAGTTAACTGGCTAGCTAACGTGTTTGGCGCATTTCACAATTCGGATAGGGATAGAGATCTTGACAATGGCTATATTCTCCAATGAAACGCTACCACACAAATACTGTTCAAACATTAAAATGTATAGCTACCGTTACCTATCGAAGCGAAGTAATTAACTTACCGCGTGATCCCTCAGGGGACAGTGCGCACTTGTATTTGTTTGTAGCTCGTGTATTCGTTTGTAGCTGGTGAAGTCCACTCCAGCAGAGACAAATCTGACTCCAGTCACCTTTATATGTCACGCACGCTCCCGGTTCATGGCTTACCTGCATTTAATTTCCAGCTTTCATTAATTTCTTTAAACTGATTATGTATCATCAACGCTACCTAACATTACTTCCCCACCACCTTCATTTTCAAATCATACTATCTAACGTTAGCTAGCTAACGTTAGCTCTAGCCAGCTAACCTACCTGGTGCCTAGCTAACTAGCTAACGCTAGCCCTGACTGGCACTTTCCAGTTAACCAGATTGCTAGCTTGACAGATATCCGTTCGAAAAATCATACACGCACAATACAGTTTATAATCATTAATACATTTTTACCATTAAGAAAGTATCCACTGTCGCGGGGACCGTCCACCATTTTGGAAAGATTTTGAAATGCCACATGCGTGCCTTTGAACGTTGACGTATATGACGTCAGATGTAATCAAGGTCAAACTTGATAGATATGTGTGCCTGTCAATCTATAATCAGAAGTCCTGTTTACATAAACTCTTAGATACATTTCATCTGAATAAAAAAAAGTGAGGTGCATGTTAAAACAGTTATGTTATTACAACGTTTTCACATTTATTATGTTTACAGAACTTAATCCAATTATTGAATAGTACTGTTCGGGTTTACAGTGTGGCAGTTGCTGTACATAAAATGGACCATATGGGAATGGTACCAGGGTACAGAGTGAAACATTTATTTATTTATTCAGTAAAGTGATGTTGCGTGAGACAACCTCCAACAGGAAAACCATGCTTGTCCAAAGAAGACAGATTGTTGGAAATACAGCTTTTTCACTTTTTCAATCTCAGCATGACATGATATATTTAATAATAATATTTAATATTTAATTTAATATTCATGAAGTGATACTTAAAAATACTAAAAGACAGGAACAAAGACTCCACTGTTTTATCAAATAATGACAAAGCAAATGTAAATAGATCTAAATCCAGATACTCATTGATTATTTCTTAAAACCAACTTTGTGATTTAGAGCAGTATCATAAACAACATTTTGAAGGAGCGTAAAACATGGAAATTAGGGAACCAACCCCTATTAAATCATGACATAAAAATTGAAATATAAATTCAGTAATGAACTTGTTTTTCAGCTGTGCTGAAATGCAAGCGAGACAGGAAGTATGCCAGAGGTCAGGCCTGCCCCATCTGTGAAACCCCCGCTCCCTCTAGAGGCAGGATCCTAACTCAGCTTCCGCATGATGCCTTCACCTGTACCAAGCCCTGGATCCACCCCCATCTGAAGCAGAGGAACATCAGCCTGGACGAGGGGGATTACACCCCCGTCTCCCCCCGAGACTTCATCGCCCCCATCGGATCTTTGCAGATGAACCTGACAGCTCAGTTCCACAATGACGCTAGCCTTACCTGCATGGTCCAGAGACCGTCAGCCATGGAGAACATGACTCTAACCCAGGTGGAGGAGGGGGAGAATAACGTCACCATGCTCTCCGTCACCGTCTCTACATGGCTGGTCTGTAATATTGACTATGAGCACATCCAGCAGCTCTGGCGCATCCTGGCTACGTACAGTGACGTGCCCATGAGGCTGGAGAGAGGGCTGATGCTCTCCAGGACCCCAGACATGATCTACAAGTACAGCCAGATCAGACCAAAGGAGGGACATGATGAAATCCACACAGACATCGTGGCTGAGATTAAGGCTTCACCCGCGTGGTTGATGCAGGGAGAGGTCAACTTTCAGCTGGACCGCACCACGACCACATTCTCCACCCTGCACATTAAGTACAGGTCAGTGGTCAACCTGCGTGTTGAGAACAAGGTGTCGCAGAGGAGGGACCGTTACAGCTGGACCATCATCAAACGAGACAACCAGACCCAGACTGAGCACGCTGTCCTCATAGGTGGGTCCTACAGTACACAATGTGTAGTGGATGGGCAGAAATGTGTCCATATAATGAATGTAACATACTTTCAGAGCTACAATATAGCAATGTGCATTAAAAAGCAATTATATTGATGTGATTCTTGTTGTAATTAAAGGTGGGGTAGTGGAACTCAACTGCCAGACCTTTGGGGTGCCAAAGCCCTCTGTAGAGTGGATCTTATCGGACGGCAGTAAGGTGCGGGCGCCCTACTCCAGCGAGGACCGCAGGATAGTGATCACAGCTGATGGGAGGCTGACCCTGAGAGGAACAGACACTTCAGACACTGGGCTCTACCGCTGCATCGCCACTAACTACCTGGACGCAGACGTGCTCAGCTTCCGGGTCACGGTGCTGTCTCCCGATGTGGAGGAGGAGGAGGTCAACGGGGTCAAGCTCTCACGGCCTCTGGGCCAGAGTTTGGTTCTAGACTGTGGGTCTGCAGGCAACCCTGAGGCCTCGGTCCAGTGGATTCTACCTGACCACACAGTTCTGGATAAATCCTATGGGAACAGGAAGCTCTATAGGAACGGGACTCTAGGAATAAAAGATCTGACCTCCAGAGACCGGGGATTTTACAGGTGTCTCAATGCTAACTACCTGGGGGTGGACCTGTTGACGTCCCAGGTGACTGTCACTGGGGAGGGGTCCAGGAAGGTGACGGTGGTGGATAGAGAGGGGTCAGGGGCGGAGGTTGGGGTTGACGGGGACATAGAGGAGGGGGAGGATTCCCGCAGTAAGGTACCTTCCTCCAGAACCATCCAGGAGTCCAGGACCCTCACGTCAGACAGGCCCTACCCCGGACTCAGGTCCTCCTCTCACGGCAGAGGATCAGGGGGCTCTGGGGGGAGGAGGAGGAGTGGCCCAGCCAGCAGCAGACGTATATGGAGCAACAGGAGGGTCTTTGATCAAGCCTCCAGGAAAGTAGACCCCCAGAGATTTGCAGAGTTCATGAAGAAGGCTCAAAGTGGTTCAACAACAAAGACGGAGAAAGAAAAAGGAGATTCAGAGCCTGCAATGTATGGGGACGGGGATGCTGCTTCTGGGGAGGGGCTGTTTCATGAAGACCGACTCATTGTTTTACCAAGCAGCGTCATGCCAACCCCAGATACTCCAGATGAAAGTAAGATGGGTGTAACTGCAAGCATAGAGAATTTAAACAATCAGAATAATGTCATGGCAACCACCGAGAACGGTGAAATCAGTGTCATGACAACCATGGAGATCCCAGATGACAGTCAGACTAGTTTCACTGTAACAACTGAAAATACTGACAAAGTGACGACAGTGACGACAGAGTCATACACCCGGTCAGACGCCACACCCATCGAGTCCACATTCACCCACAGCAGCCACAGCACAGGGAGTATCAGTGAAACTCAGGGTGAGGCCGTCTTTCAATACAGCCCCAGGGTTAGTGGGTCTAGTGGGTCTAGTGGTGAGTCGTACTCTCTGGAGAGGAACACGACAGTACCTCTGAGTCAACCCGTCACGCTCCTCCTCACCGTGACCAACATCACAGACGAGACCCAGATCCTGTTCTCCAGAGAAGCACCTGCAGAACCAGAGACCTCCACCGGGGCGGCGCTATCACTCCTCACCGACCCCAACGTCACCCCCATGATGGACAGTCCCAGATCACCCCCGAGAGAGCCTGAGATGCACACAGCCACTGACCCAGACAGCCAGACCACCTTCACTGCGGTCACCACCACCGAGAGAGAGCGTGATGAGATCACCTTCCACACCACCCAGAGGATCAAGTCCCCCCATCTGCCTGCAGGCTCCACAATCATCTCCCGCCAGCAGATCCACATCATCCCCCCTAAGAAGGGCAGAGGAAGAGGAGGAGGAGGAGGGGGCCGGAGGAGGAACTTCCCTGGCAGGAGGAGGTTCATCAAGCCCAACCGGATCACAGACATTCAGTCCATCCTGAACAAACTCAAACAGCCCAACATTGTGAAGACGGAAGGCAACAACACAGTACCCTACACTACGGAGCTGACCACAGGTACGTTATGGCATGTTGTTGAAATATGATATGATATGTATTTTCTTGTCTTTGATGTTGACATTATCTTTGTTGGTGAGAGCCTTGAGCCATGAGGAAGAACCTAAATATGATGATGATGATGAAGATGATAGCCATGATGATGGTGATGATGATGATAATGGTGATGATGATGATGCTAGCCATGATGATGATGGTGATGATGATGATGATAATGGTGATGATGATGCTAGCCATGATGATGATGATGATGAAGATGCCAGCCATGATGATGATGATGATGATGATTGTTATTGTTGTTGCTTTTTCAGACTGTGACTGTGATGAGGACGAGAAGAAGACAGGTGGTCAGCGGGTCGTCGTACCAACAACATTGACTAGATCTCCCTACGTCCCTAGCTCCTCTCTAGGAAGAACAGAGAGACCCATCTCTACAACATTGGACACTCCCACCACCACATACTCAACAGAGGCCCCCACCACCACCACCCAGCCCACCCTCACTCACTCTCAGTCCCCCACCACCACCCAGCCCACCTCCCCTCACTCTCAGTCCAGAGGTGAGGTATCCAGCAGCTACATGACCTCCACTAAAGCCCCAGACTCTGACCCAACACACGATCCTATGACGAGCACAACAGATGAACCAACAACCTCCACCATCACAACCACAACTGCTTCCAAGGTCGTCCATGGTAAGATCAACTGGGGCAGGCTGGTTGGGAACAGGGACAGGCAGAGGGAAATAGTCAACAGACTACGTAAACCAGCCAGGACCTCAACCACCACAGAGGGCTCAACAACGGTCAAACCCACCACCACCACCACCACCACCACAACTGCACTGCCCACCCAGCGGTCTCTGGCTGAACCTGTGACCGAGTCACCGTCTAGAGCAGGTAAACACAGAGAGACCCCAGAGAGCTCATCAGACAATGACTATGGGGATTCATGGCCTGACTCTGAGGCCTCGACCACACCCCAGCCTGCCACTAGCCGTGGAACTACAGCCCCAGCCTATGACTACAGGTCCTCCACCACCACAGAGTCTTCCCCTGACACCCAGACCATCACCTCCCCACCCACAGAAAAACCTGCCCCAAGAGAAGACACAGATGAGGCCTCGTCCTCTGGGTCTGAATCTGGAGGGTCAGGGGGGTACCTATCCCGTAGATTTGGGGGAAACCGGAGACCAAATGGAGGGTCAGGGGGCAGGAGGCCTTTCAGGGGCAGGAGGCCTTTTAAAAAAAACACAACAACTACCGAAGCCCCCAGCACCACCATGGAAACAACAGAGCCTTCAACCACCATGGAAACAACAGAGCCTTCAACCACCATGGAAACAACAGAGCCTTCAACCACCATGGAAACAACAGAGCCTTCAACCACCATGGAAACAACAGAGCCTTCAACCACCATGGAAACAACAGAGCCTTCAACCACCATGGAAACAACAGAGCCTTCAACCACCATGGAAACAACAGAGCCTTCAACCACCATGGAAACAACAGAGCCTTCAACCACCATGGAGACCACCATGGAGACCACCATGGAAACCACCATGGAAACCACCATGGAAACCACCACATATCCTGCACGGACCGTCTCCGTCTCCAAGCCCCTGTACACGCCCTCCAGAGAATCAGATAGGTCTGCAGTGTCCACTGACATGACCTCTAAGGGGAAAACCACCACAGACTCCGACTCATACGATAATGAGAACTGGACAGATGAGATGGAGTCCACCACTAACCGCCCACGAGCCTACACTTCCACCACCAGGCCCAGACAAACCTCCATCACACCTTATCCAACCACCACCTCAAGGCCTTACATTACATCATCAACCCGCGTCCAGACTAACACCAACTCCATCAGAGTGAACACTAACATCAGGCTCCCGTCAGGGAGAGATAGCCATTACCAGATCACACAGAGACCCATGATCAGGAGAACCAGGCCCAAGGTGTCCAGCAACAGGGCCAGCAGAGGCCCAGACAAGACCCTGACCTTTGACACACTGACTGTTCTGGAAGCAGAGCAGGGGCACACCAATGCCCCCTACAGCAGCAAGGACATAGACAATGCCATCTCCAACGCCTATACTCACATCACCGGCTATGATACGACAACCGCTAACATTGTGGGCTTTGAGCCGTCCACCAGGGACATGCCCACCAAGGCCAGGATAGTGGGAGGCAACGCGGCCAGCTTCACTGTCCTGTCCAACTCAGACGCCTTCCTGCCCTGTGAGGCCGCGGGCAGCCCTGAACCCTCCATCAGCTGGAAACGCTTTTCTTCAAACACGGGTATGGAAAATAACAGGATATAGATATTTAGCATGTTATAAAACTACTTTGGAATAAAGTTATGCTGTATGTTCATTTATATATTCTCTCTCTCTCTCTCTCTCTCTCTCTCTCTCTCTCTCTCTCTCTCTCTCTCTCTCTCTCTCTCTCTCTCTCTCTCTCTCTCTCTCTCTCTCTCTCTCTCTCTCTCTCTCTCTCTCTCTCTCTCTTCCTCCTTATACCCTTGACCCTCTCCCTCCCTCTCTCTCTCCCTCCCTTTCAGGAAGCACAATGACCATCAACGGCAAGATGGGCAAGTTTGAGGTGTTCCAGAACGGCACTCTATCCATTCAGAATGTAAACATCAAAGACCGTGGCCAGTACCTCTGCCTGGCTGAGAACGAGCGGGGGTCAGACAAGCTCCTGGTCACCCTGTCCGTGGTGGCCTACCCCTCACGCATCCTGGAGCCCAAGGTACGGGAGATCAAGTCCCACTCAGGGAAGACAGTGGAGATGAAGTGCAAGGCGGAGGGCCGCCCCACCCCTCTGGTCTCCTGGATCCTGGCCAACCGCACCCAAGTCAGGGGCCACAACTCAGGCCCCAGGGTGTCAGTGACCCCAGAGGGCACTCTGCTCATCAAGCAGGTTTCTGTGTATGACCGGGGCCACTACAAGTGCATCGCCAGTAACCCAGCTGGAGCCGACACTGCCACTGTCAGACTGCAGGTGGTGGCAGCACCCCCTGGCATCCTGGAGACCAAACGACAGCAGGTCCAGGCCGGTGTGGGTCAGAGCTTGTTGTTACCCTGTACCGCTCAGGGCAGCCCCCAGCCCACCGTGCACTGGGTCCTCTACGATGGAACGGCGGTGCGGCCCCTGAAGCCCTCTGTGGACCCCAGGGTGTCAGTGTTCGCTAACGGGACGCTCCACCTGACCGATACGGCCACCGCGGACAGCGGGAGGTACGAGTGCATCACCACCAGCTCTACTGGGTCAGAGCGCAGGGTGGTGACGCTGACGGTGGAGAAGAAGAAGGAGATGCCTCCTCAGATCGTGGTGGCGTCACACCGCAGGACGGAGCTGTCGTACGGGCACCAGCTGAGGCTGAACTGCTCGGCCACCGGGGACCCCAAACCCAGGATCATCTGGAGACTACCGTCCAAGGCTGTGGTGGACCAGTGGCACAGGTAATGAGGACATAATCTGTAATGCACACCTAATCACACGGACTATTCTGAGACATACAGGCACAACCACACACATGCAGATAAACATGCACACACACTGAAAGGTATCCAGGTTCTCCGTGCTACAACACAGCTGTTTAAACACAACAAAATATACATTATTGTAACTTCTCCCCAAATGATTTAGTTGTGTTTCCAGTGCAGAGAGCCAAGACTGGGGTTCTCATGCCTCTCCAGTATACAATTAAGTTAGTCCATCCATGCACTGAGCACCTAAAACCCTGGATATTTGAAAATGTACACAACGTTGATTGAAAACAGAGAAAATAAAAGACAGACAGAACACATCATGTAAAGACTGATCTGTTATACTGTACAGTATCTCAGTTTTCATTTTAAACTTCTGGTTTAGGGTCTTCATTTTCCCTTCATTTTCAGCTTCCTGCAATGACCCTCAGGGTGCTACCCCTAAAGTGGGGAATAATGGTGTTGGTGTTTTTATAATCAGATCAGTCGATCCCCATGTGTTTAACATCAGGAGAGAAGGTGAATAAGATGCTTGAGCTCCTTGAGCGTGTGGATTTAAGGTATGACAGATCTGATAACTCAATGGAAAGGGTATTATCATGATTAATGCAATCTAGAAGAAACTGGAGCTGCATGTGAAGTCGTTTAGATCTGAAAATCAAAGCATCAGTTGGAAGGAAAAGGATGTTTGGCTTGCTTTGTCTGAGTGTGTTTATAATTAACAGTGGACTTTGTTTTGGAAAGAATAGCGTGCCAGTGTCCCCGTCCTCTAAGACTGATTTTATGGTTGTGGTGACAATAATATTTCAATTTATACAGGCAATTTTTTTTTCGTTTCAGTACAAAAATTTCAACATGCACGCAAGGGAATGTTTGGACCTATCTGGGAAAAAGTTTCCTTTGAATTGATATTCAGACGGCACCTCTAAACATCATTAGCATTAACTAAACGTGGCAGCATCTGATCTAAAGCTGCATGTTAATGAGATGGAATCTCTCCAAGGACAAAAGGTATACTATTGTCTTCCAATGAACCCATAACATGTCATCTCATGACAAGCCTTAGCATGCTGTTAAACCCAATGAATATGACCCAGAATGAATGACCTTATTCAGCCTCTCAATGTTTTCTCCATTAGCAGTGGTTCTTAGCTGGGGAAAACCTGAGACCAGAATAACTGAGGGGGTATTTGCCAAAATAACAAGGCAAGACGACGGCATTTAGACTGGATATCAACATGAACAAGTTGTATTTTATTTGAGCTAGGACCCAGTCAGAGCTCTTTAAAGAGGAACATGAGAGTAACAGAAGAACATTGGCATTCTGGTGGAGGACTTTATATTGCTCCTAATAATGTAGCTGACATTCTGCCATGTATCCTCTCTGCATGCAACCACTGAAAATAAAAAAAAATAGATATTGGACGTATTTCGTAAAAGAGACTTATGTAGCACATTGGGAAAAAACACCACAACGCTTCCTTTGTGAATGTAACTGTAGAAAAAGGCAGCGTCTAATGGTTTGATTCACTGGTCAGTTCATTGAATCATTATCCCCCCCCCCCCCATGTCATTAGCTGCATTATGTAAATAATTACACTTAGTGGAATGCTTTCCCCTCCCTGTGTTTCTTGTCTGATTTTAAACTGTTATGGTGGCTGGCTTGGCAACCCTGACATGTTTTCTATTAGTGTTTTATTAGTTTCTGCAACTGTAGTAGGATTCGGAACAAACCATTATTGTGAGTCATTGCCAACGGCCTTGATAAAAGACAGACCCAGGTGAAATACACTTATGCTGATCTGCTGTCAGCCTGTCTGGCCCTGTGAGAATGTCATCTCTCTGTTCCTGCCTCTCTGTGTGTCAGTTCCATGAGAACGGGCCCTAGCTAGTGGACAGTCTGTGGGGTGGGGCAGGCTCAGATCTGAGGGACTGGGACACCACTCAACGTATGTTTTATGGAGATGGATGGTAGTACCAAGCAGGAGCACATATATGCTCCACAGGAGGAGAAGTCATTAGACACTGTTCGTGTGGTGACATGACTGCTGCTGAAGAAGCTGCAGAATGTTCCAATTAAAACAGAAAATACTCCCTACATGGCCTAGTGTTCTTCTGCATAATGTTATCAATCATAAGAAATGTAATCTTTTTCACTTTTTTAAAAGCATTGGGGGAAAAAACAATATTATATCTGAGAAAATTGCATTCTTTCTTTCCACTGCTATATCTGTTATCTTCAAATGATGATACTTTCTTATCTATTTATCCAGGATGGGAAGCCGGATCCAGGTCCTGGACAACGGCACCCTGGTCATGGACTCTGTAAGTGACAAGGACGCTGGGGAATACCTGTGTGTGGCGCGCAGCAAGGTGGGAGACGACCTCCAGCTCATGAAGGTCACTGTGTCCATGAAGCCGGCCAAGATCGAGCCCAAGACGTACGGTAAGAAGCAGGTCCCCTACGGCAACGACCTGAAGGTGGACTGTAAGGCGTCTGGGACACCGGAGCCAGAGATCTCCTGGGGCCTGCCGGACGGCACCATGGTCAACAGCGCCCTGCAGTCAGACAGCAGCAGTGGCGGGGGACGCGCACGGCGATACATCCTGTTTGACAATGGCACGCTCTATCTTAATCAGGTGTGTAATCTTACATTGGCCTGCTACTCTGTAGAAATTATTGGCCGGTATTTATTGGTTAAAGATGTATTCCTTCTCTGTCTTTGTAGTCCTCTGACTCTGAACTGCTGGTGTTGTGTCTGTCTACAGGTGGGCATGGCGGAGGAGGGCGACTACACATGCTATGCTGAGAACCAGCTGGGCAAGGACGAAATGCACGTCCACATCACCGTGGTGATGGCAGCGCCACGAATACGGACGCCCAGCCGGACCTACGCCCAGGTGAAGCCTGGAGGCAACATCCGCTTCGACTGCGAAGCCACAGGCGAGCCCAAGCCCAAGATCCTGTGGATGCTCCCCAGTAACGACATGATTGCAGCCTCCAATGAGCGCTATCTGATGCACGTCAACGGCTCCCTGGACATCTGGGACGTTAAGCTGGTGGATGCTGGGGAGTATGTGTGCATGGCTCGCAACACCGCTGGGGACGACAGCAAAGTTTATAAGATGGATATCTATGGCAACCCTCCGGTGATCAACGGCTACTACCAGAACAGGACCGTGGTGAAAGACACGGCCACCAAGTACTCCAGGAAGTTCATAGACTGCAAGGCCGCTGGAGACCCGCCTCCCAAGATCACCTGGATCATGCCGGATAACATCTTCCTGAACGCTCCGTACTTCGGCAGCAGGATCAACGTCCATCACAACGGAACGCTGGAGTTCCGGAACGTCCGTCCAACAGACATGGCGGAGTTCATCTGCATGGCGAGGAACGACGGCGGAGAGGCAGTGATGGTGGTGCAGCTGGAGGTCACTGACATGCTTCGAAGGCCCATCTTCAAGAACCCCTTCAACGAGAGAGTGGTGACCCGTATGGGGAAGACCACGGTCCTGAACTGTTCTGCAGACGGTCACCCGACACCAGAGATCATCTGGCTGCTACCCAACGGAACCCGCTTCATCGGCGGCCCCGACCGGGGCTCACGCCAACATCTAGGCAACGACGGAACTTTCGTCATCTACAACCCCAGCAAGGAGGATGCTGGGAAGTACCGCTGTGCAGCTAAGAACTCGGCAGGCTACATTGAGAAGCTGATAGTTCTGGAGGTGGGCCAGCAGCCCTTAATCCTCACCAGGCCCAGAGGGATCATACGTAGTGTGTCTGGGGACCCTGTGTTCCTCCACTGCCTGGCTGATGGCAGCCCCAGACCCAGCATCTACTGGACCATCCCTGGAGGCCACACCCTGGCCAGGCCGCAGGTCCATGGACGCCACCAGCTGATGGAGAATGGGACCCTGGTGGTCAGGGACACAACCCTCCATGACCGGGGAAACTATGTGTGTCGGGCGCGGAACGACGCTGGCGAGGCAGTTCTCACAGTGCCGGTCATCATCATCGCCTACCCTCCCCACATCACCACGGGACCCCCTCCCACCGTGAGAGCGATGGCGGCGGCGCCCATACAGCTCAACTGTGCCGCCATCGGGATCCCAAAGCCGGAGATTACCTGGGAGCTGCCTGACCTCTCTGTGCTCTCCACGGCGGGGAAAGGGCGGCCCACGGGCAGCGAGCTGCTCCACCCTCAGGGCACGCTGATCATCCAGAGACCCACCACAGCAGACTCTGGCACCTACAAGTGCCTTGCCAAAAACCACCTGGGCACGGACTCACGGGTCACATATTTGCGTGTGCTGTGAGGACCAGCGCTGACTAAAAGGGAATATAAAGCCCCTAGAATATCAACTCTAAACAGACACAGTAACTTCACAGTGTCTCTTATAATGTACAATGTCAGAAAATACTGTTTTCCACACGTGGACTTGTGAGGAGCGGGGTTTGTGGAATAGTTTGACCACATTACAGTTCACATCAATCAGCCAAATAGCAGAACAGGATTATTGAGAGTAGGAGGAGGGAACGGAGGAGGGAACGGAGGAGGGAGCGAGAAGAAAGAGAAACTGTACAGAAGAGGATCTGTTCTTCGCCAGGAAAGCCGGGACTAGTGAGGTGTTATTCTTATTGTAACAGAGTCAGAGGTCTGGAAACCCACGACTGGTTCTCATTTGAGGTGTTTTTAAAAAGGGGCTAGATGGTGGGTCTTACAGTGAGCCTACTTGTTGAGTGTTTTGACCAGACGCTTTACCACAGCCTGTGGAGAGAGAGGAAGAGCGAGAAACTCACTCACTATGTTCCCTCTGGACACTTCCTCAATGTTTATTTTTTTGTGGGGGGGTTGGTAATGACTAAACGTTTCTGCCTATTTAGCTTTTTAAGATACGTTTCATATTTCTTATGAACAAATCTTTATATACAGGCAGTATATTTTAATGAAATCTGCCAAATATACATTTTTCATATACATTTTACACTGGATTGTCATACAGTTTTTCATAACAAATTACTCACATTTCTATATGTTCATATTTTTGAATGAGCATTGCTTGTTTGTGATGTTGTTGTCTATCTTCCCCTCTCATGGTTTGATAGTGCTTGTATCAATACCAATGCAGGAGTTCGTTTGGTATTAATACCGACTCTTATGGATGTGAAATGGTCACTCACACAGTATTCAATGGCATTGTATGAACTGTCACTCACAGTAAATACAATTATGCATTATTGGTTTTATGTAATAATATATTTATGCCTTTTGTAACTGATATCTACTTTGTGTAAATTAATTGGTACATAGGTGTAAATGAATGGTACCCGGGAGATGAAATTAAACCAAAGATGGAATGTGTTTCTTGTCCTGTATTTTGTCCTGTTTTGACAATGTGACGCTAATTTGAGCTGACTAATGAGATTTAAACTCACAACCTTTGAGTTGCTAGAAGTCCACCCATCTACCCCGACCAACAACCCTACTTTCATTTTTGCTAAAGTTGTCCGTGATGAGATTTAAACTCACAACCTTTGAGTTGCTAGAAGTCCACCCATCTACCCAGACCAACCACCCTACTTTCATTTTTGCCTTAAGTAACCATATGTCTTATGTAACCATATAAGTGATGCAACCGGTCAGGATGCTCTCGATGGTGCAGCTGTTTAACCTTTTGAGGATCTGAGGACCCATGCCAAATCTTTTCAGTCTCCTGAGGGGGAAAAGGTGTTGTCGTGACCTCTTCACGACTGTCTTGGTGTATTTGGACATGATAGTTTGTTGGTGATTTACATTTACATTTTAGTCATTTAGCAGACGCTCTTAACCAGAGCGACTTACAGGAGCAATTAGGGTTAAGTGCCTTGCTCAAGGCGTGATGTGGGCAACAAGGAACTTGAAACTCTGGACCCACTCCACTACAGCCCCGTCGATGTGAATGGGGGCGTGTTCGGCTCTCCTTTTCCTGTAGTCCACAATCATCTCCTTTGTCTTGCTCACATTGAGGGAGAGGTTGTTGTCCTGGCAACACACTGCCAGGTCTCTGACCTCCTCCCTATAGGCTGTCTCATCGTTATCTGTGATCAGGCCTACCACTGTTGTGTCGTCAGCAAACTTAATGATGATGTTGAAGTCGTGCTTGGCCACGCAGTCGTTGGGGAACAGGGAGTACCGGCGGGGACTAAGCACGCACCCCTGAGGGGCCCACCTGTTGAGGATCAGCGTGGCAGAGGTGTTGTTGCCTACCCTTACCACATGGGGGCGGCCCATCAGGAAGTACAGGATCCAGTTGCAGAGGGAGGTGTTTAGACAGTTGAATAAGGAGACTACACACTCCTCTGGCCACTACACAGTCTGCACAGTGTTCCCCTTTGTCTTGCTGGCTGGATCACTCCTCTTGAAAAAATGGGTCAGAACAATCATTTAAAAACATAATTACAACAACATTCCATCTGCTATTCGGCATTACAACTGGAAACTATTTCACAGTAAATTGCAGAAATTAAAGGTTCACTTTTAATGATGCACATTTAAAACAGGCAGAACAATGTCCCAGCTCCCGTTGACTTCAGTTTGACCTCAATTCTAACAGCCAACAAAGAAGAATGAGATTCTAGAACTATGGAACTGTAGTACAGAGCTCACCACTGCTCTCAGATGCTCCAATCAGATCACTCCCTACTCTCACCAGCCTAGTGACATCCTCACCTTGCAGACATATCAGAGGTCAGTGAAGCACGGAGGAAGCCCATAAACATGTCACTCTTTGCTGTTAAACAGGATGCAATTAATTGACAATGACGTTCTCTTAACAGCTCAAGTTTAATAGGGATTCACAGAGGACATCAATGGTTGGTGCTGAAATGAGGAGTTTAAATAACAACATCTATATAGTATTTTCAGTAGACAGAAGCCAGTCTGAAGCAGTGAGATATGTCATTAACTGGGATGGGGAACTAGGGAATTCTCTTCTATAACCGTTGGAATGTGAGCCACTGCTCTGTGCTCGGGAGAAACTTGCATGTGTGTGCGTGAGGACAACCAAACACAATGAACTGGTCTGTTTTATGTGGTACCACATTGTTGAAGCCCATTCATCATTCATTCAACCGAATGCCCACATACTGTATGATGTTGGAGCGTTTTGTGTATTTTTTCAGTTCTGGGTTTTGGGGTTCATGTTGAGGGGATTGCAGAGTTGATCTTCCATCGTGGATATTTACGATGGAATCTAAACATGTGCTTTTCCCATTTTCTCCTGTTCCTCCGAGTGCAATTGAGAGAAGGGCCAATGTCAAATAACTGCAGTTTTTAAACATGATTTTTGCAACGAGCTTCTGAAAAGTGAACTCTGTTGCTCCAGAGGGTGTGCGTGGGGAGAGTGGTTGTTCTAGCCAAACTGACTCTTTCAAAGAACACCAACAACTGTGTTTATTCATCTTTGTCATTTAAGGTGAACTTACTGTATACCATCTGTAAAGCTTTTATTCTTTATAAAATCTACCCCTCATCCACAGTACCTCAACTCAACCCCTCATCCACAGTACCTCAACTCAACCCCTCATCCACAGTACCTCAACTCAACCCCTCATCCACAGTACCTCAACTCAACCCCTCATCCACAGTACCTCAACTCAACCCCTCATCCACAGTACCTCAACTCAACCCTTCATCCACAGTACCTCAACTCAACCCCTCATCCACAGTACCTCAACTCAACCCTTCATCCACAGTACCTCAACTCAACCCCTCATCCACAGTACCTCAACTCAACCCCTCATCCACAGTACCTCAACTCAACCCTTCATCCACAGTACCTCAACTCAACCCCTCATCCACAGTACCTCAACTCAACCCTTCATCCACAGTACCTCAACTCCTCCTCGTCTAATATACAGGTCTGATATACAGGTCTGATATACAGGTCTGATATACAGGTCTAATATACAGGTCTGATATACAGGTCTAATATACAGGTCTAATATACAGTGCCAGTACAGTGCCAGTACCGTTATTCCAATGTGCTCGGGTACTGGAGTGATTGAGGAAGGAATGTACATGTAAAACGGGGTTAAAGTGGCTGGTAGCAGGATAAATACTAATGCTAATATTAATCATTATAATCAATCAATCAATTATGCAGTGGTGTAAAGTACTTTTGTAAAAATACTTGAAAGTACTTGTCACGGGTTAGACCAAGGCGCAGCGTGATATACGTACGTGTTTATTTACACTGAATAAACACACGACAAAACAATAAACCAACGACACGTGAAGTCCAAGGTAGCGCACACACAACATACCTTACACGGAACAAGATCCCACAACTTAGACTGTGCCAATAGGCTGCTTAAGTATGGTCCCCAATCAGAGACAACGAGCGACAGCTGCCTCTGATTGGGAACCACACCGGCCAACATAGATCCACACATGCTAGATATACATCATAGAATATATACAAACAAAGAATACACACACCCTGACTCAACATATAAGAGTCCCCTGAGTCAGGGCGTGACAGTATTACTTAAGTCGTTTTTTGGGGTATCTGTACTTTACTATTTATATTTTTGACAACTTTTACTTTTACTCCACTACATTCCTTAAGAAAATATTGTACTTTTTACTCCATACATTTTCTTTGACACCCAAAAGTACTCGTTTTATTATGAATGCTTAGCAGGACAGGAAAATAATCTAATTCACAAACGTATCGACCGAAAATCCCTGGTCATCTCTACTGCCTCTGATCTGGCGGACTCACTAAACTCACGTTTGTAATTATGTCTGAGTGTTGGAGTGTGCCCCTGGCTATCTGTAAATACATTTTAAAAAACTAGAAAATGGTGGCATCTGGTTTGCTTAATATAAGGATTTTGAAAATATTTATACTTTTGCTTTTACTTTTGATACTTAAGTATATTTTAGCAATTACATTTACTTTTGATACTTAAGTATATTTTCAACCAAAAACTTTTAGACTTTTACTCAAAAAGAATTTTACTGGGTGACTTTTACTTTTACTTGAGTCATTTTCTATTAAGGTATCTTTACTTTTACTCAAGTATGACAGTTGGGTACTTTTCCACCACTGCAATTATGGCAGCACATGTGGTGTGTGCATGGTAATGAGTGAGTGTGTGTATATGTGAGGTGTCAGTAGAGAGTGTGTGAGCATGGATGCATGAGTGTGTACATGTGAGTTTGTGTATGTGAGTGTGAAGTGTCAGTGTAGGTGTGTGTGGCTGAGTGGTAGAGACCTGAGGATGGGCATAGAGTCAGTGCAGGTAGTCTATGTGGATAGTCTGTGGGAGC